GTTGTCAAGTGCAAGTGGATTTGAATAATTATTCATTCATTAAACAACATTTATATCCGTAAATGTTAAACAATATTTATAGTAAACATTATTATAACAAGAATATATGTAAATAAATTAATAATATGAAAAACGATTAACTAGGATCTTTAATGGCAGATATAAATATCTTTTCACGTAGGATACTCACAGAAACAACATAATTTTAAAAAAAATATTAAAAAGGCAAATTATACGCCATGCTTAAAATATTGGAACCACGCTTCAAAAAAATATTAATGCAAATGCAAGGTCAATAAACAGACTTAGCGTGTCACTTGCTGTACTAAAATAGCAATTGTTTGTATCCACCCTTTAGAATTGTGTGCACCACCCTTAAATTTTTTAGGACATTTTCTGAAATTTCACCATTCTTTAAAATTCCTGCTGAAAGGGTTGCCATGGGGAACATAAGACAATGAAGAGGGTGAACACAGTTCCATAATATAAATACTGTCCCTAAAGGTAAAATTTGACAATGTTAAGGAGAACCTCAGACGACAAAAGAATTCCCCTTAAAATATGTTTTAAATGTAGTAGTAGTATCCGACGACAAGCAATCAAGAAAAAACTATTGAACAACTCTCTCGACACGAAATGTTTAGTGTATCATACAAAAGTTTAAATACCTGCCCCTGACCACAAGCAACCAAGACAAGACTAGACAAGAACGACTCGCTCGACACGAAAATTTTAGTTTATTATTAGTTTATTTACAAACATTCAAATACCTCTGACCGCAAGCAATCAAGGAAAGACTAAACAAGAACAAACCCGCGCGACACGAAAAGTTTAGTGTATTATACAAACGTTGAGACCGCTACACAACGGCCTTTGCTTCGAGATTTGAGCATGAAGGCGAGGCAAAAGCAGCTTTTTTAGCTACGTTTTTTGTCCGCTGATCGGTTAAAAAACGTATTTCATTTTTATTTTATCACTGAAAACAACTACTGTAAAATGTTTAGCCCATAAATATGATGTGTGTGAAGAAAACATTCAAAATATTTTAATTTGGACCTTCAAAAAGCAGTTAAAATGAAATGGCTATGAATTTTAGTGGGGGGGGGCTAAAGCCTGTTCAGCCCCCCCCCCCCTCTAAATCCGCCCCTGGTACCGTACCACCTGTAGCCAGTACCACCTGTAGCAGTATGTTATCATCCTCCTGGACCAAGGATGCAGTATCACATTCTCCCAGCGTTTCTGGTTTCGATTCCGACACGGGCCTAACTTATTATAACTCTTATGTTTCATCCGTTACATAGCGAATGTAAACTAAGAATATTTGAAATAAATCATTGTTAAATGAAATAACATATTTTATGATTAAAATCTCTTTTTAACACAATAATTGAATGGTAATCACCGGTGATCCGCTGTTGAGCTTGTATCAGGATGGTCAGCCTTAGGGTGTTCATCTGGGACGGTTGTTTTACATTCAATTCTAATTTATAAAAAGAGGACGTAAGACGTTAAACGTTACGGTAAATTTCCACTTAAGAGACAACTTGAAATTTGCGGCCACAATATTTTGTTCGGACATAGAGTAGGCTTATTATCAATAATAGATATTAAAGTTGAAGAGCACTTTCAGTGTAACATACCACAGCTTACTTCGAGAACTCAATGATTTTTCTCTTATTTTTTATAAATTGAAAATGCCATGGCAATTGGTCTATAAGTTTTCAACTCACAGATTTAGACCATTCGTCCTGCATTAATATTTCTTCAATTTCTCAAAGTAACGGCACAGACCCTATATCTTTATCGTAAAGGTTGTTGGTGACGATTGTCACTATGGCGTTTGTTGTCACCTCGAGTGTTACAAAATATTGGTGCTGGACAATTATTTTGTCAATCACACCATGGAGGAAAGAAAATAATTTTATTTCCTCCATGATCACACTATCTATCGCTGCTATATATTGGAATGATAGCTACTTATATAGCCGAACATTAGAGCCTACTGCTAAAGTAGAACAAGAAATTCGGAACAATTCACGCTGGGTACACTCTTTTTTTATCAGAGTGAAATAACATGAAATTAAACTACAGTATTATTTTTAGCAGACGTTGGTAACCTTTGAGATAACAATAATCTCAAATAGCCAGCGGCTGATTTCATACAGTGCCAGAAAATGAAAGCATGTTTTTCAATGCCAAATGTGACATATATGACGTTAAAATTCGTTGAATAATGAAGCAATCTATTCGGCCTAAATCCAAAATAAAACGGCATTTAGTCGTACTTTATTAATAAGATATGATACTTAACCAGTCGTTGTGAGGACACCCATTCTCCAAACCCCTCCCTCTCAATGCTGCGCTCCTCGTTTGACGATTTCGTCATCTACACCGCAGTTCTCTTTTTTTTATATTTTCCCAATGAGTTACGATAGGTGTGATATGAATATTGATACGGTCGTTGTACTCGTGTCCCCCTCCCCATTCTCTTATATAATGACTTTATTACCGATGTAAAAGTGAAAGATTGATGTGCACAGACGGTCAGTTTATTGCTATTTTTGTATTTCTGGCATTATGTTTGTAACATTCCTTTCAAAGTATGAATTGTATGCCATATTCATTTAATGATACCGTAGGGTACGAAACATTAAAGCGGTGAAACGTTGTGTCGACAGTCTACTCTATGGTAAACCAGAGTGGATTATAAGACTTAAAATTCGAGGTTCAACATGTTAGATTAATTATTTATGATGCACATACATCATTTTGGCATTGGACGATTATCTGAAGAGTATTACCGTGTCTCTGAGTCATGAAACTAAATACTGTAATATAAAATACCTAACCAAACTTACTGTTGAGCCTCGCTTTGTTTATTACATAAGTCAGAATACTCAATACTCATGAAGTACGATTCACGAATAAGATTTTCGGAAAAACAATTTTAAAAATATTTATTTTCTTTCATCTGTTTTACAAACCTTTCAATATTATACATTGGAACACCAAAATTGATATGGTATCGATATAGAAAGTAGCAAACCTCCTCATACAACATGGACATTATTCCTACTCTTTTTACATTATTGAATGACGTCATCGGAAGCATATTTGTCAGCCTTATCGTTATCTTTGTTATAAATTAAGCGTTGACTTTATTAATGCTCTGTATCTAATAAAATCAATTAGGTTATAGAATGATAAGTTAGTAATTCATTATGGATTTTCACTATCGAGTAATGCTGTTAATTTTGTTTTATTTTAATAATATGTTTTACGTCAGCCTGTAATATTATCTCTGTTAAAAAAAAAATATTGCATCGCGTCAGATCATGGAGGAAAGAAACTCTTTCCTCCATGGTAAGATATTCTAAAATATCTAAAAAAATATATATACACAAAATTATTGGGCATTAATATTTAATTTAAAAAAAAACATATTAAATACTTCTATGGTAAATAATCTACCAGTCCAAACCTACACAAATGTTTTGAAAAAATAACATCACAACATAAATACGGTAATATTACATCTTACATATCTAAATTATCTTAAAGTATTGATCTTAAAGTTTTGTAATAGTGGCAGCAATATTTAAAAAAAAACATAGGCTCAATGCTTTTGTAAAATCATTTGACTTGTTTGATGTTTATCAATTGCTATAAACGTGAAACGAAAGTTCACTGTCTGTTATCGTATTTTCTGAAAAAATAAGTTTCAGTTAAAGCACTTTATAACC